ACTTGTAAAAGTTGCCACAAGGGAAAAAAAAACTCGTAAAAGTTGCCACAAGGAAAAAAAAACTCGTAAAAGTTGCCACGAGAAAAAGGAAGAAAAAGAAGTAAAAGTTGCCACGAGAAAAGAAAGAAAAAAGAACTCCGTAAAAGTTGCCACAAGAAAAAGAAAAAAAAACTCGTAAAAGTTAAAAGTTGCCACAAGAAAAAAAAAACTCGTAAAAAAGTTGCCACGAGAAAAGAAAGAAAAAAAAAAACTCGTAAAAGTTGCCACGAGAAAAAGAAAAAGGTCTCACCTCCAGGAGTTCGTCCCCGATGCGGAACCTGCCGTCCTTGGCCGCCAGCCCCTTGGGATGCATGCCGCAGACGAAGACGCTCATCTTGGTGCGGTCCTTGTTGCCGGCCAGGCTGAGGCCCAGCTTGTTGGAGCCCTTCACCATGTGGATGAAGATCAGCTCCCCCCTCATGTCGCCGTACTTCTTCTGCACTTTCTCTGCACAGGGAGAGAGAGAAGACCAATTTCAACAACAGAACAATATGAGCGTCATCTTTTAGTAAATATTTTTATGGTTTTGTTTTGTTGTTTTTTATCCCACTTGGCTGGCCAAGCCCACAAGCCCATACGTACTCATGGTCGAAGGCGGAAGGAAGCAGCTTCTGTTGGGATGGAGCACCCGTAGGTAGAAGTCTGACTTTGGCTCCGTGCGCTCTTACAGTCATGGGAGACCGGGACCTACTTTTTAAAGTGGATTCCGAACCACTACAAACACCCATGGCACCGCCGTGACTCGAACCCGAAACCGGTGGCACCGAGTGCCAGAGCGCTAGACACTCCGCCATTCAGGTCCCAAATGTGTGAATGCCAACGGCACGCGATGTTCCCAGGTGAATGGATGGTAAAATTCCATATAATTATTGTATATGTTAGACTATATTCTATGTGTGTAACTTGGAAGGGGGCTGCTTGTTGGTCTCCGAACCTGACCGGATGGGTCACAGCTGGGGGTGAAGGGGATATATGTGGGAAGTATTTTAATTGGCAGGGGTCATAAAAGACTTCGAGGCCAGATGGTCAAGAAATCAGTAGATCAAGACGGGGATTTGGATTTATGGACGGGGGTGCGTCTGCCCAACGGATATAGACTCTAATACGGTGTCGGCAATCGCCCCCCCTTCCGAAAATGAACTATAAAACGGAGGCGATGGACATCGTAAGGGGAGAATATAAACAACTCTGTTCTAAAAGATCTTGGGAATTACGAGTACGACATATCTCTTTTTAAAAACCGCAAACGGCCTCGCGCTGTTCTGAACATTACTCAATAGCATTGATATCCTCCTTTCTGGATCACCCCGCAGCTGCTCCATTGATTTGCTTTCTTCCCACTGGTTTTATTTGTTTACTACAAAGCACTCTGCACCTCTTTCCCGCCCCCCCTCCCTGCTGCTGCTTGAATAGTCGAAACGTTTTCATTTTCTCCCATCACTCACTTGCAACTGACCTTGTACGATTCGCAGATTTTCCCCGTCATTACCATTTCATTCTCTCTTAACAGACTGCTCTGAAACGTTTCTGTTATTTTTAACTTTACTCCTTTTTGAATTAGATTAACATTTTGAAAGTATTTTTGGTACTTGCGTATTAACGGTACCTTGGCGACGGACTTGGCGGTTTTTAAGTGTCGCCAATCTAACAGCTACTAAGGTTACCAAACCAACAGAATAGATTAGCGCCACTTAAAAACCGCTAAATCTGTAGCTTCGGTTGGCGCGTGTGCTCTTTATTGGCGCAACTGTCGCCAAGGTACCGTTAATACGTAAGTACCGTATTTTTATTTTTATTATTTAAGTTCTCTTTCAAACTACGTTCAGTTTGTAATTCTTCAAATTCCTCTTTTTACTTTTCTTTGAATTATTAAAATATTATTATTATTATTATTTTTAAATACTTTATTGAAAAAAAAAAAAAACTTCTCTTCTACATTTATTATTTTCTCTATTTTAATTATTTATTACTAATGCAATGGGCTTAAAGCTAAAGTAATTTCCCTTTCATATGCAAAGAAGGAGTTAACGGTTACCTAAAAACCAAGGAGCTCCGTCAACCTACAAATCGTCGTCGTCGTCGTAAGGGGAGAAAGAAAAGAGACGAGGAGCGATACTCCGTAGCTTGAAGGAAGGTGGCTCATTAAGACTGAGAGGGTTGTACCATGTCCAGCGTGAAATAGAGAGATTAGACGGGGAATTTGACGGTGAATCGGAGTGACTGGCATCCCTTCTATGAATTAGCTGGTGATTATCATTAATTAAATGATTCTAATTCAAGCTTACTGTTGTAAATATTAACAAATACATTTTTTGTTTATATTTTAAATTAAGAAATTTTGTCCGTGTTTTATTTCATGTGTGTTTCCTTTTCCAACTTATATAAGTCTCTGAAAGCCTGCGAACTTGTTGATTTAAAAATGTGGTATGGGTTATTGCGGAATTTCATTATGGTTATCGTGTGTGTTTAAGTAAACGGTGTTGCTAGTTGTTTTCAGAATCAGATTTTTGTTTAAATAAGGTTTAAAAGTAAATCACATCACCACAACATGCGCTGCAGATTATCATAGCAACAAAAAGCATTGAGCAAGCGAGACATGACTCGTGAAAACAAGCAACATAAACAAGTAATATTGCAGAAAGTTCTTTAAAGTCAATGCATTCCGGCTGAGCCCCAATTTTTTTTTTTCACTCCGGCCGAAATTGCAGAAAGTTACGCCTTTATAGATGCATTAGATTGCAACTGTAGAGTTACGCCGGTTTCAATAGATGCATTGAAACCCCAATTTCTGTAGAGTTACGCCGGTTTCAATCGTCCCGGCCGAAAGTTACGCCGGTTTCAACCAATTTCTGTAGAGTTACGCCGGTTTCAATAGATACATTCCGGCCGAAACCCCAATTTCTGTAGAGTTACGCCGGTTTCAATAGAGTTACGCCGGTTTCCGGCCGAAACCCCAATTTCTGTAGAGTTACGCCGGTTTCGCCGATGCATCCCGGCCGAAACCCCAATTTGCAGTTACGCCGGTTTCAACGGCCGAAACCCCAATTTCTAGAGTTACGCCGGTTTCAAGAAAGTTACACCGGTTTCAACTGATGTAGAGTTACGCCGGTTTCAACAGATGCATCCCGGCCGAAACCCCAATTTCTGTAGAGTTACGCCGGTTTCAATAGATACATTCCGGCCGAAACCCCAATTTCTGTAGAGTTACGCCGGTTTCAACAGATGCATCCCGGCCGAAACCCCAATTTCTGTAGAGTTACACCGGTTTCAACTGATGTATTTCGGCCGAACCTACAATTTTGCCAGACTTCTCTACCAGTCTAACCAAAACTTGAACTATTGCAGTGGGTGTCCAGTGGATTTGACAGATACAATAGAAGCCCTTTAAATGAAAGCCATTTAATGGGTTCTATATTTTACTATAGAGAGTTTTTGCATACCGTACGTTAGTTACCATAGGACGACCGTTAGCTTTTTCTCCCTAGCGCGCTTGCTCATAGGAAATTTACGTTAGTTACCGTAGGACGTCCGTTAGCTTTTTCTCCCTAGCGCGCTTGCTCATAGGAAATTTACGTTAGTTACCGTAGGACGTCCGTTAGCTTTTTCTCCCTAGCGGGCATGCTCATAGGAAATTTACGCATGCTCAGGGGAAACTTTTTTCCTATGAGCATGCGCGCTAGGGAGAAAAGCTTTTTCTAAGCACGCATGCTCATGGGAAACATAATTTCCTATGAGCACGTACGGTATGCAAAAACTCTCTAATGATATTTACATGGGTTATTAATCAAGCGCTAAATTTATGCATCTCGTTGTTCGTCCGCATCCTTCCCCCCTTTCTTCATCTACGGGGCCCTCTCCCCTTCTCCCGGGGTCAGAGCTCACAGTTGAATACTCCCCCACATTGTAAATAGGATCTGTCAAAGACAAACAACGGCAATGCGTCGCCCCCTGCTGATTTCCACACAAACAAATCCTACATACATTATGCACCGTAGGACCTGAAGGATCGAGTGGCTGGCCCTCGGTACCACAGGTTTCGGGTTCGAGTCCCGGCGGTGCCATGGATGTTTGTAGTGGTTCGGAATCCCCTTTAAACTGTAGATCTCGGTCTAATAGGATCGTAGAGCGTTGCGGGGGCATTGTGACTCCGCGTCCGTGGCTTATCTTCGAGTTACACGCGCCCCCTGGGTAATACAAAGTGAGTACGTTTGTGCAGCGCCTGCCTTAAGGCATCCAAGATCAAGGTGTCTAAGTGTTTACCAGCTGCATTAGAAAGAAGAAAAAAGAAAAAAAAGCGTTATTCATAAATCATTTCAAGAGTTAAGGGGCACAAGCTACCATTTTTCCACCAAAATTTTCAAATTTGGAATGGAGTTTTATTTGCTTGTATAAATAAATATGTATTTATAATAAACAATAAATATGTATTAATCAAGCGCTAAACTCATGCATCTCTCGTTGTTCATCCGCCTCCTGCCATGTCAGCCAGCTCTTCTTTCTTCATCTACGGGGATCTTGCCCCTTCTCGTGGGGTCAGAGTTCAAAGTTCAATACACCCCCACGTTGCAAACAGGCTCTGTCAAAGACAAGCGACCGTAAGGTGTCGCTATCTGGTGATTTCGACACCAACAAATCCTACATAGATAATTTTCGCTCATTCTTTTTAAGTTAGAAAAAATTCTCTCTCTCTCTCACATACACACTTTCTCTCACTCATCTATTCACATTATTTATTCATTTTCCATTTTGCCAAGTCCACAAAGAAACATTTTATTTGAGTTAACTTTTTATTCAATAATGACAATTAATATAAATATGCATAGACATACACTCAAGAGCCAAAACATTATGACCGCCTGTCCATAACGAGTTGGCCCACCTTTGGCGCGCAACGCAGCTTCAACCCGCCTTGGCATGGATTAATACAGCCACTTAATACCTGTTAAATACCACTTCCAGCCAACGGCCGTACCATGCTGAATATACCGGTTCTCGTTAGATCACCGAAGTCAAGCATCATTGGGCGTGGTCAGTACTCGGGTGGGTGACCACCTGGGAACACCGCGTGCCGCTGGCAAATTTGGGACCTGAATGGCCGAGTGTCTAGCGCTCTGGCGCTCGGTGCCACTGGTTTCGGGTTCGAATCCCGGCGGTGCCATGGATGTTTGTAGTGGTTCGGAATCCACTTTAAACCGTAGGTCCCGGTCTCCTATGACTGTAAGAGCGTCACGGAGCCAAAGTCAGGCTTCTACCTACGAGTGCTCCATCACAACAGAAGCTGCTTCCTTCCCCTTCAATCATGAGTATATGGGCTCGTGGGCTTGGCCAGCCAAGTGGGATAAGAAATAACAACAAACAACAATACCACTTCCACCTGATCACGTGCCTTCCACGTCATCCAGGCGAGTTCATTGCAAAATTTAGGGGTAGCGATAATGTTTTGGCTCTTGAGTGTATGTCAGAATCAAAATATTAAGTGGCAGAAAATTTCGTTTTTCACTCTTCAAAGCAAAAATTCCTTTATAAATAATTTTCATTCATTTTTTTAAGTTGGAAAAAATTATCTCCCTCTCTCACATGCACACTTTCCACCTCTCTCCCTCATTCACATGCTTCATTTTCCATTTTGTTCCCTTCTTGGGGCCAATGGCCGAGTGTCTATTGCTCTAGCGCTCGGTACCACAGGTTTCGGGTTCGAGTCCCGGCGGTGCCATAGATGTTTGTAGTGGTTCGGAATCCACTTTAAACTGTAGGTCCTGGTCTTTTTAGCCTAAAGTGAACACAAGATGACCGTAGAACAACAAACCAAACCTTGATTCATACTAGAACCCAGAATGAAAAAAGAATCTGAAAAAGACAATTTTTTCCCAGCGCCATTAACGGTATTTATTCTAAATGTATATCCTGGTAAATATAAGAGAAATGTTTTTCTCCCCTATGAAACTAAAATTAATCAATTTAATCTAATGAATGAATTAATAATTGAATAAACTGTATTCACATCCAGTGTCATCCACTACTTGCATATTGTCCACTACTTATAATACTTGTTTATGTACGCGTTAGGAAAAAGCTGGCGCACTCATGGCAACAGAAACAGTCAACAGAGATAGAGACAGAAAAACCTGTATAAATAATTTTCATTCATTTTTTTAAAGTTTATCTGGCGCCATCTATTGGTGAATACACGCAACTTAAATCTAAAAAAAAATACGAGTAATGAATTAAATTCAATGAATGAATTAATATTTGATAAAACTGTATTCACATCCAGTGTCATCCACTACAAGTTTCAAAAAAATGTATTCGAACTCGAGTGAATGAATAAAAAGTGTTTCATGAACGATTGAAAATGTGAACAAGATATATAGAGGGAGAGTGTGAGCTAATAGAAGGAATTGAAAAATGTCCTCTCTAAAGCATCTTTCGTGGTCTACATAAGGGCAGCATGAGGTCATTCATTTGAGCGTCCATAAATTCTGTTTATGTACTATGTACTAGGATGTAATGTACTAGAATGTACTAGAGTGTACTATGTACAGATATATACTATGTCCTAGAATGTACAATAAGATGAATTTTTACAATTTTTATGTACTATGATGCACTAGGATGTATTTCTATGTAGTAGGATGTACTAGAATCTATTTCTATGTACTAGGATGTAATGTACTAGAATCTACTATGTACGGATATATACTATGTCCTAGGATGTATAATAAGATGATTTTTTTTTACAATTTTTATGTACTATGATGTGCTAGGATGTATTTATATGTAGTAGGATGTACTACAATCTATTTCTATGTACTAGGATGTACTATGTAGTAGGATGTACTAGAATCTATTTCTATGTACTAGGATGTACTATGTAGCAGGATGTACTATGTAGCAGGATGTACTATGTACGGATATGTACTATGTACTAAGATGTATTATGTACTAGGATGTACTATAGGATTAATTTTTTTTTGCAATTTTTATGTACTAGGATGTAGTATGTACGAATATGTACTATGTTCTAGGATGTACTATGTACGGATATGTCCTAGGATGTACTATGTACGGATATGTACTAGGATGTACTAGAATCTATTTCTATGTACTAGGATGTACTATGTAGCAGGATGTACTATGTACTAAGATGTATTATGTACTAGGATGTACTATAGGATTAATTTTTTTTTGCAATTTTTATGTACTAGGATGTAGTATGTACTGATATGTACTATGTTCTAGGATGTACTATGTACGGATATGTCCTAGGATGTAATATGTACGGATATGTACTAGGATGTACTAGAATCTATTTCTATGTACTAGGATGTACTATGTAGAGGATGTACTATGTACTAAGATGTATTATGTACTAGGATGTACTATAGGATTAAGTTTTAGCTACTAGGAGGAATGAAAAAAATAATACGAATATGTACTATGTTCTAGGATGTACTAAAGGATATGCCCTAGGATGTAATATGTACGGATATGTACTAGGATGTACAGAATCTATTTCTATATTACTAGGATGTACTATGTAGCAGGATGTACTATGTACTAAGATGTATTATGTACTAGGATGTACTATAGGATTAATTTTTTTTTGCAATTTTTATGTACTAGGATGTAGTATGTACGAATATGTACTATGTTCTAGGATGTACTATGTACGGATATGTCCTAGGATGCACTATGTACGGATATGTCCTAGGATGTACTATGTACGGATATGTACTAGGATGCACTATGTACGGATATGTCCTAGGATGTACTATGTACGGATATGTACTAGGATGTACTAGAATGTATTTCTATGTACTAGAATGTATTAGGAGAGTAGGGAGAGTTTGAGCTAATAGTAGGAATTGGAAAAAAATAATCTCGTATGTAGATAATCATAGTGTCAAAAAGGATTGCCACAACGGATTGAGCCGAGGAAACATGACTCGTGAACAAATATCTGTTCATAACTTATTTGCAGATGACTCTGTAGCGTCAGCGCAGGGTGCGCTACGTGGTAAAAACGTTACAGAATTTCTTAGACTCGCCGGAAAGATGGCTTACTAAATGGCGAATCGCCATCAGCGTTTCCAAAACTGCCAGTGATAATCTCTGTCTTTTCGATGCCTGCTCAACTCACGTTAAATATCTTGGTTTAATAAGCGGTAACAAGAAATAAAAAATTTTAAAGCCAATTCCTCCTTTTTTTTATCACTCTATTGCAGAAAGTCCTTTATAAATAATTTTTCATTCATTTTTTTAAATTTATTTGGCGCCATCTATGGGTAGATATATGCAACTTAAATCTAAAAAAAACTAAACTAAATTAATTCAATTTAATGAATGAATTTATATTTGAAAAAAAACTGTATCCATTTCCGTTCCGTGCGCCAATGATGATGATGAAATATCTTATATAAGAGAAATTTTTTCTCCCTTATAAAGAACTAAAATGAATGAATTAAATTGAATGAATTAATTAATATTTCAAAAAAACTATATTCCCATCCAGTGTCATCCACTGCAAGTTCAAAAACAAGCATTTGAACGTGAGTAGATGAATAAAAAGTATTTTCATAAACGATTGAAAATGTGAACAAGATATACATAGGGAGAGTGTGAGCTAATAGTAGGAATTGAATAAAAAAGTCATCTTTATTAAACAACAAAGACCGGTACGTGTGCAAAATAATGACATGCGATATACCTTTTAACTGGAAGTCGTTCAGTTTATTTTATTTATGATTTTTAACTTTTTCTACCCAATAAATCACTCAATAATGGAAAAGAAAAGAAAAGCGAAAACTTTTCTTTGTTCGTGTTCTCTTTCCCCCCAACCCTACTTCCCTTGCGTCATTTCCGGCTGCTCTGGTTTCGTGTCTTACTCTAAAGTTCTTCTTGTTTGGTGAGATTTTTGCTTTTCATATATTTTCTGATGAGGATTTATTTACGATATTCTGGAATGAAGAGGTCTTTTTATGGCCTTATTTGAGACAGAGACGTTCGTTTTTTTAAAAAAAGAAGATCTGTTTTAAAAAATTTTTTGTATTTTTTATTTTATTTGCTTATTTATTTATTTTGTACCAAGTCCTCTCAATAGTTCTGTATTGAGAGGATTTTTGTGTGTTCTATTAAAGAGATACCCTTTTCTTCATTTCATAATTATTTGAGACAGAGACGTTCGTTTTTTTTTTTTTTTTTAAAAAAAGACCGTTTTTTTTTTTTTTCTCAATTCCTTCTATTAGCTCACACTCTCCCTATATATATCTTGTTCAAATTTTCAATCGTTCATAAGATGCTTTTGATTCATCCACTCCAGTTCAAATACATTTTTTTTAACTTGCAGTGGATGACACTGGATGTCAATACAGTTCTTTCAAATACTTTTCGATATTCTGGAAGGAAGTCATTGTATGGAATTATTTCAGACAGAGACGTTCGTTTTTTTTTAATAAAAAAAGATCGGTTTTTTAAAAAAAAATGTTTATATATAACCAAGTTTTGTATAGAGAGGATTTTTGTGTTGTTTATTAAAGAGAGACACTTTTCAATATGCTACAATGAAGAAGTCATTTTATGGAATTAATTAAGACAGAGACGTTCGTTTTTTAAAAAAGAAGATCGGGTTTTTTTTTTTCTTTTTTTTTTTTTTCTTTTTCATTTCCCCCTTTAACCAAGTTTTGTATTGAAAGGATGGTACTTACGTATTAACGGTACCTTGGCGACAGTTGCGCCAATATAGAGCACACGCGCCAACCGCAGCTACAGATTTGGCGCCAATGTACACTTAAAATTTTTGTTCCAAATAATAAAATATATATGAAACACTTCATTTAAAATCAAAATGCTTTCAAAATATTTTTATTCGAAATAATAAAGATTGGCGACACTTAAAAACCGCCAAGTCTGTCGCCAAGTTATCGTTAATACGTAAGTACCGAAAGGATTTTTGCGTGTCTTATAAAAGCAAGACCCATGAAGTTCATGTTTCTGTCATCGTATCTCCTATTTCTATTATTATTTTATTTATTATTCATCGTATATTATAGTGAAAAGAAATGAAGCTTTTCAACG